GGCGGGTGGCTGGGCTGCCGGCGCGCTTCACGGTGCCGGTTATCATCAGCGTAGGGTACGGCGCCGCTGACGGGTTCCACGCGGTGCGCAGCCCGCGCTTTGCCACGCACCATCTGATTCGATGGGGTAAATACTAAACAGCAGCAGTAGCAGCGCTGTGGGAATGTAAGGCGGCTGTACTCTAGCGTTGTGGTGATGGAGGAGGCGAGAAGAGGAATGGTTTGTGTCGGTGTGTGTGTGTTTCTCTGTTTATTTGTTTTTTGAGGAGGAAGGGGGGGATTTCACTGCTCGTTGCGCTGCCAGCCGTGGTCTGTGGCGGTGAATGCGTCGAGCGTGTCACACGTGTATACATGCATTTTACACATGCCCACGTAGGGTTACGTTTGAGGTCACGTGGGTAGTCGTGGAGGAGGGAGCACGCCGCTGCGGTGGCCGAGGTGGGATGTGCGGCCTCTGCTGCTGTCGTCGTGCATGCGCCCCCGTCATGCCGCTCACCTCCGCTGTCGTGTGANTGGGATGTGCGGCCTCTGCTGCTGTCGTCGTGCATGCGCCCCCGTCATGCCGCTCACCTCCGCTGTCGTGTGAAATCACCACCGCCCTTTTCCCACGGTGGTGGTTTGCTGTCCACCCGCCATGTGGCTCTCCGCCCGCCCCCCTCCCCTTTTTTTTGTTCTGGTTGCTTGTTTGCTTGTGTTTCTCACCGCCTCCGCCATCAGAGTGGTTAAGGAGTCCTACAAGAAGAAAAAATAACAAAGGTGACAAGGTAGAGATCTCCTTTTGCCTCTCTATCCTTTTCGTTGGTTTCCTACTGCTAGGTTCTCAGNAGAAAAAATAACAAAGGTGACAAGGTAGAGATCTCCTTTTGCCTCTCTATCCTTTTCGTTGGTTTCCTACTGCTAGGTTCTCAGCAGGAGGAAAATCGCTGCGGCTTCAGGCCGTGGAGTAAGCGGAACTGCCACAGCAGCAGCGGTGGTGTACCGGTGTGGGCGTGTGTGCTGCCCTGATAAGTGCGACTCCCACGGGGCCAGAAGGGCAGAAGCGCCAGCAGCGGACTCTGACAGTCTGCATCAGTGGCGGCAATGCAATCGGCCGGCTCCTCGGTGGTGTTTGAGTTGCACAGCGCCTCCAATGCTAGTCTCGCCGGTGATAGTGGCGCATCCAACGGCCACAGCGTGGAATCCCCTGATGCATCCCCTACGCTCCCTTGGTGTGCGCCAACGCTCCAGTGCCAGTCCTCCCATGACAGGGATGGGCCGAATCAGCAGCAGGAGCGGCAGAAGCAAACACAAGAGGACGATGAGGTGGCACCCATACAAGGGGAGAGTAATAGCTTCTGTCACAGCACTGTTAAAACGGCCCACGCTGGTGAGAGGAGTGGTGGTGCAGCGACAAGCCTCTTGCCGCTGAGCACGCAGGTGCTTGCGGATGTATCGCTGCCTGCTGCGCCGCAGCTCCCCGCCCATCGCTCTGCTGCTGTGACGACGAGTGCTGCCAACAACAAGAAGAGCACTGGCAGCGGCAGCAACCGGCAACATGTATACGAGGAGCATAGTGGTGAAGCGGCTGAATCTGCTCCTGTTCATCCTGCCGCACGTGCTCGCCTTGTCGACGGGAAGATGGGCGGCTGCTCAAACTTTTGCGCCCCAGTGGTGGGCAAATCATTTTTCCGTGGTGTTCGCCACCTGTTTGCCTCGGGGAAGAAGAAGAGGAGGCAGCAGAACCAGGATAACATGACGGATGTTGCGTCAGAAGCAGGAGCACGGGGAACAGATGTAGAAGCACCAGGGGCTGTGACAGCAGCTCCTGGTGATCTGTTGCGGGTCGTACCTATTGTTGCGGCTGGCCGTGGCGAGGATGGTAATGTAGCCGCTCTGGGCGAAGAGGATGAGTTCTCGCAGCCGGAAGAAGATGATAAGCAGCAGGAGCAGGGCGGGAAACGCACAACCCACCTGAACCAAGAGGCGNCCTCGCAGATCAACCCCACACAGAAATTATTGACCGAAGAGGAACACCCATCCAAGAAGTGGCAGGCCCTCGGTGAAAGCAGTTTGTGTCTGCCAGATGGAGCCGCGGCCGCTGCAGCTGCAGCTGATGATGATGATTATGATGATGGTTACAATGAGGTTGGTAGTGGGGAATGGGGTGATGGGGCGGAGGACAATGTGGTACCCGCGCTGCGCTCCTCCTCCTCCGGGGCGCAGCCCCACGACGCGCCGGAGACGGAGACGACGGTGTCGCAACTGCAACAGCCGGAGTCGCGCGGTCGGAGCGTTTCGATGGGCGACGGCGGCAGCTCACTCTACTTTCACATCGAAGATGATGGGCGGGAGGGGAGCGAGGAGGAGAGAGAGGAGGAGAGAGAGGAAGCCGAAGAGGTTGAAGAGGGGGAGGGAGCCGAGGAGGCGGAGACGTCGTCATCCTTTAATGTGCTACCAGCTGCCGAGGCTCACTCTTCTGCACTAGACGAGACGCAGGCGGAAGTTCCCATCACCAGCCACCGCTCCCCGCCACGCGAAGCTGCTGAAGAAGCAGGAGCAGCAATGGCCTCCGCGTACGCAGCCCTCTTGAGGGAGTGGCAGACGACGCCTCCGTCGAGGGAGCAGCAGTCAAATAAGCGTCGCCGCGGCGCGGACGCCACGCCATCACACGCCAAGGCGATGGCAGTAGGAGCATCTAAGAGCCCGACGACTCGCACTCGCAGTTGCAGACGGGTGGCACATGGGCAACAGCAGGCGAGCAGAAGCACTAACAAGGGCGGGGCTATGCGTGCGGTGTCCGCCTCCGCCACGCCGTCGCTTCGGCTGCGCGCGTCTACGGAAGGGGCGGCGGTGACGCGGACAACCAAAAGAACGGCCCTGTCATCGCGGGGTCACACTGCACCATCGCTATCTGTAGATCGTGGCCCTACCAAGAATCGCTGGAGGCAGCAGCCGCAGCAGGAGAAATCAGTCGCGAAACAGACATCACCAGCGAGGCGGACGGCGGTGCCGCCAAGGGCAGTAAAGGTTGCCGCGTGTGGTTCGCCACCTACCACCCACAGCAGCAACGCCCCTCGGCAGGCCATCCCCGTCAAGAGTGCCAATCACAACAAAGCCGACAACACCAATAGTGGCAATAGCGACAAGGGTGGTGCTCGGTGTGGTGGTGGCTCGTACGCCCAGTTGGCAGCGCGGCGGCGCGAGTACCTGCAGGGGACGGACGTTGCTGCTGCTGTTTCACAGCCACAGCGGAGCGACGCCGCCCGCAGCCAGAACTCCTCGACGCGGGGAGGTTCTCGAAGTGTGATGCAGATGCTGGCGTCAGCGGTGCAGCGGCTGCACACGACCGGGTCACACGGTAGCAAATACGGCGATTCCCACCACAGCAACCGTAGAGAAGACAACAAGAAGGACATAACAGCTACCGTCAATACTCTTCCTTCACGGCAGTCGCCGTACGCGGGGCTCACGTGGCGGGAGTTCAAGGCGCAGTTTTATATTGGCAACGGCGCCTCGTTGCATTCCCCCACAGACCACTACAGCAGCGGCACGGAGCCAATTACAACGCTGTCAGTCGACCCCCTCCCTGGGTCGGCCGCGCCGATACGGCCGTCGTGTGCGGCGTGTGGCCCCGACCTGCGTGAGTTGCAGCTGCTGGCGCTGCTGTCAAGTGGAGGCAAGGAGTGCACGCTTGTGCAGAATCCGCGGGAGGATTTGTACGAGCAGCCGCCAAGGAGAGTGTTGACGAGTGCTTCAGCAGCCCGGTCGACGCCGCCGCCGCCGCCGCTCTCATCATCGCAACAATCGGATGCCACGATGCAGTCAGTGTTGCACTCTCACACGCGGTCGCCAGCAGAGGGAGATAGGGAAGAGCAACCGCAGCAGGAGCATCAAGAAGATCTGCAGGAACTGCATCACATGGAGAATGAGGAAGACAGCAGACGAAGAAGCGCCGATTCCTCCTCTTTCTCGGGTGGGTTTAGTGACGTCACGCTGCCTTGCTCTGGCGCTGCTGCTGTTCCTGCCGCAGTTGATACCAAGACACAAGGCCACGAAGAGGCTGGAGTGCAATGGACGCCTAGTGCTGCTCTTGCCAGTGGCACGGGCGGCGATGAGTGCACATCTCTTGATCCACGGGTGATTGCCGAGAAGCTTGATGAGTTAGATGCGGTGCTTGCGCGGCGTTTCCCACGGCTGTTTGATGCTCAGTCCACCATGCGCGTGGAGGGCGCCGGCCACAGCTGCAAGAGCCATAGTGCTGCCGCTGCTCCCGTGAGATCTGCTGCAAGCAACGAGTTTCCGGAGGCGTCGCCCGATGAAGGAAGCGAGGTGACGTGCCCACGCCGCCTCAGCACTGGTGAGAGCGAAGCGGGGGCGAACAACGCGAATGATGCCGTTCTCGCCGTGTGGTTGGCAGAGCGGCAGAAGTTGCAGGAGCAGCTCATCGCGGTGGCAGCGGAGCGGAATCTTCTGGCGGACCAGCTCCGCATTTACACCTCGTACGAAGAGGCGAAGAAGATGAAGTCGGTGAAGGAGAAGAAGCCGGCGAAGGGATCGACAGGGTCCGGGTCGTGAGGAGCAGCAGCAATAGCTTGACACGCATATCCCTTGCGAGAACAACACACGCGTTGTAGCAAAGGGTCGAGTGGAATGGCCCCGAGGGGCTTTTTGGTTTACCAAAATCATCTGCTGTCTGTTGGTAGTGGTGGTTGTTGTTGTTGTTTTCCGTTGGGCTTGTTGTTATTGGTCGTGGCGATGAGGTTGTTCGTTTGTGTGGAGTTAGCGGCCCGTGTTGCCCCCCCCCNGGGTCTGCGCCTGCGGGGGAAGGGGGAGTAATGCGGTGGTAAATGAGAAGTCCTCCTGCCACATATATATATATATATATGTGTGTGTGTGTGGGAGGGGGGCTTTTGCGTGGTTGGTGTTCTTTTCCTTCTGTTTCCCCGTTCCATATTGACTTGTGCTCAAGTCCTTCCTGCCTGTCGCGGCTCCTGCCCGCCCTCGCGCCGCGTTCCGGAAGCGGGCGGCGGGGATGGGCGCCCGCAGAGGAGCATGCAACAGCGGCGGTGCGTGGAATGTGCCTGGCGTGGGGGCAGGCGTACAACAACGGAGGACGTGCATTCCCGTTCGTGGTTCTCTCTCTCTCTCTCTCACACACACATACCATGCGTGTCCCTCACCGTCTTTACGACGCACGTTCTCCCCCCGCCTTTTTTTTTTCTCCACTTGTTTAGGAGCAGCTCGCACGAGAAAACACAAAAATCGCATCTGTACATAATTATAGCACCACAAAAGGGAGATATAATTCAAAACCGAGCACAAAAGAGACATCAGCAAATTTTATTTTATTTTTTCTATTATTAAAGAACAAAAAGCAAAGGATATAAACACATGCCAGCAGGAACAGTCGACACTACCAGCGGTGGCGCTTCTGCTATTGTTACTGTGCGCACCGACTCCAAGGCGGACGCGCTGACAGTGTATCGGCAGCGGTCGCACGTGCGGCGGTGTGCGACGGTCGCGCTGCCAGCCACCACCGGCGACAACGAGGTGCTGCAGCTCCTCTTCGCCATGCCGGAGTACTTCTCCCGTGACTCTGTGCAGGTGCGCTTCGACGACGCCACCGCCGCCCGGGTCACCCTCCGCGGTGTTCTCTTTGAAGACGTGGAGGAAAAGGAGAAGGACGACAATGCGGCCGAGCAGCAACGTGCGGAGGATGTGAGGAGCATCGAGGCGCAGTTGCGTGAGGTGGAGCAGAAGCTGGCGCGCACCGAACTCGATCTCTTGGCCGCGAAGGATGAGGCGGCGCTAGGCGAGCAGCTCTTCACGCGCGTCTGCGGCCCCGTCACGGACGGCCTGCCGTCTGCGCTCGAAGTCGGCTTTTGGGAGGCGCAGCTCGCCGGCGTGGAGGAGCGCATCGGCACCACCAACGCGGCGCGGCGGCGCGCGCAGAAGGAGGCGGCGGA